CTTTTCATATCAAAGAAGAATCTAAAAATATTACTTTTTTATATTTTAGTTTTGATTTTTTGATTTTTTTTTTATATATATATAATCATTAAATCTTAGGTTAAAATTAATTTTCTTTGTCTTCTTTATTTAGATCTATAGAACAAAATCTACTTTAGTTCTTTTAGATTAAAAGCAAATCACTCATTTTCTTCTTGAATAGTTGTTAAAATAATTTTGTAGACAATTCTTCTTTTTATTCAACAGCATTTTAGAAGGTCAAATCTAAGTTCATCTTCTTTAGAAGTTGTCTCAGATGGTCGCCCTACGTGAGTCATCAAATTGATTTACTTATTATTTTAAGATAAAAATATGCATTTAGAATGCTTTAAATTACAATATATAATGAATAGTGTAGAAATCTTAAGAAAAATAAAAAATTAAAATGTTAGTGGTGAAAATAGAGACTTAATAAGCATTGGAGGCAATTATCTTCATTGATTTAGTATTTTTAGTTTATTTTTGAATATTAAGGATTTTTTTATTAAGACCAATATTTATATTGGTCTTCTATCTATATGTACTACTTATAAAAACTATAAATGTTAGTAGTTAGAAGAAGCATGAAAAAGAATCTCATGTCATTTTAGTTATTGATATAAAAAATAGGATTTATAGTGGATTTGAATTTATTTTTATTATTATCAAAAATAATCAAGGTAATAAGATATAGCCTTCAATATATATGAATATTATAGAAATATTATAAAAATTTTCAGAATTTACTTAGAATTTATTAGGAATTTTTAGAACAATTTTTAAGATCTTAGTAAAAATGAGTTTCATCACTTTGGAAGCCTTTATGAAGAAATGGAGCAAGATTTGAAGGCCATACAAGGTTCTGAAGCTAATTGGGTGTTTTTGAACACCATGGTGAGATTAAAATTGCAAAAATATTGGTCCTTCTAGTAGAAAATAGGAAGACCAGCAGTTAGTGTAGTCCTTGTAGGAAGGAGAGTGCACAAGTCCTATATGGGTTGTAGCACCTTGAAGGTACTTCACTTTTTAATTATTTACTTCATATCTTTAAAACTTCATAACTTATTCATAATAATTCATATTTATATATTTCTTACATCATTAAAAAGATAATAAAATTATCTATCTAAAAATATACTTTTAACTTTTAACTTCTAATTTTTATTAGATGAAAATACAATGAACAGACTATGACTTAGTTTTGGGTGTTGTAATTGCTTTATGTCATCTATTTCAATTACTTTGTGGTTGTTCTTCTTTTGTTCTTATTATTTGCTTACTTCACTTGACACCGCCAATTACAAGCATGTCTTAATTGAGGCCATCTTGTAACTTAGGTTGAGGAGTAAAAATTTACACTCATAGATTTAGAAAGTAATATCTTCAAAAGAAAACAAGAGACCATCTATGACTTCTACGTGAATATGTTAAGTTTTCCTCAATAAAGATATGTTAAGTCTTTTAGTTAATTCTTCATCTAAAAAACACTCTGAGGCTCTTGAATCTAACAAGACAAAGGCTTTGTAATTTATTGGTTCTAAAATAATATTTAATATAAAACAAGGAGAGGGTTTTGAGAAGAGAATAGGACCTTCATTAAGTATTGTATACTGTTCCAGCCGCATAGTCCCCATTATAGTTGAACAAATTCATTTTTTAATATATTATCTTATTTGACATTTATACTCTTCATTTTATAATTGCATCACTTTTTTGGACAATGTTGAACAGTGTGGTTAGATTCTTCATAATATAAGTACAATCTTCCTTGACAACAACGAGTTTTTACTTGCTCAATATGAGATTTAAAACGTATTATATCAATTTACATATCCTCTACTTCTGAATATATGTGTTGAAGAGGCATTGATATTTCCATTGAATTATAATAATGTTGAGGCCCATTTATTTGATTCTTAGATCGAAATTCAAAAAATTGACTGTCATACTTCACAACAAAGATAATTACTTGATTCTATGTTTGAAGATCAGGTAAGTTAAGCATCAATTTTTTTTATCTCATATTGTAATCAATAGAAAAATTAGCTAATCAGTGCAGCATCATCCTACTTGATATTAGTTGCAAGTTGTCAAAATTGTGAAGCACATAATATTACGGATCGATTGTCTTCTCGTAAAATATGGATCTTATTGGTTGCAATATGAGTTGTATCATGTTTTCCATACATGGATCAAAACTCCGCTAAAAAAGCCTCCAAATTATCTAGTATTAGATCTTGTTGTATAAAAAAAGATGAAAACTATGATAATGCTGAATCTGAAAGAAGTGTACCAATGAATCTAACTTGATATCTTGGAGTTGGATAGCTTTGGGATTGAAGTTCAATCGCAAGTTGTACTTAATTAATAAATCCTCAAAACTTTGATCTTGTGCCATCAAACTTTTTAGACAAAGCATTTCTTAGTTCTCTAGTACTTGAAGGATGTTCCATCATAAGAAAAGTTGATGCATTACAAGCATTAATTCCTTCAATTGCTCTTATATTTATTCCATTGCACTCTTTATTTCAAGAAGCTCTTCCATGATAATAGTTAAAAAATAAATATCTAATATTGCTCAAGATAAGTAGAAGAAGGGACTTGAGAACAAAGAAGATACTAAGAACAATATTAGTTTAGAAGAGGATAATCTGCAACTTCTAATATTCTTATGTCTTATATATATATATATATATATAAAATCTATTCTTAATTAAGAGAAGACAAAGCTCTAATATTATAAGTATAGTCTTGTCAATCTGTCAAGAACATGAACTAAAAAAAAAATACATAAACTTAAAAAAATTGTGTCAAAAGAAAAGTGACAAAATAGAAATAAAATAATATATATATTAAAAGAAAACTGAGATGACTATTGCCAAATGACAAGAAAACTAGAGACTCTTAAATCTTGACTAGAAGCAAAGAAGAAATTGACAAGAGTGAAGATGGCTTCACTCTTGCTTCTATATATACTATCTAACCAGGAGCTATATGGCAATGTTTTATAGGACCTCTAATATGTGTTGACTGTGTAAGACACATGCCTTAGCTTATAAGGCAATTTTTCTACATGTAGGCCACATAGTTAGTTTGTTCTTCAAGATATCAACATGTGTGGCACATGGCCAACTTTTTGACGATGTTTCTAACCTAAAAAGTCAATTAAAGATACCTTTAAAATCAAAGTAGTGTCTATGAAGTTTCTATAAAGATATTATGGAATTGACCTACTTTTATCTACTATTATCTAAATCATATAAATAATTATTATTTTACATGTGTATGTGTGTAACATTGAAACATGGTTGAAGTTGAAGATGATTGTAACAAAAATACCTTAAAAAACTCAAGTACCAAAGAACAAGGTCATAGAATAACCTCATTTTAAAAGTAAGACTTAAAGATGTATAAATCTCCAATAACTTTGATCATTACAATTCACTACTATATTCATAGTTCAACAAGTAAATAGAAGGTTTACATTAAATAGCCCCATATGATCAATTTTACATAAGAGATTGGTTTATTTCAAGCAAAATATCAAATGTCAATGCTAGACACTCTTTCTCTCTATATTAAACTAAAATCCTAGTTGTTAATAAAAGAATATTCTTATTATAAAAATACTACATCAAATAGCTCTTTAGCAAGAACAGCATACAAAAGTATAATTCAACAATTATATCAACAAAAAAAAACATCAAATTACAAATACAAATAGATTTTCTACCAATAGATAAACATATATATCAAAGCATAGTAAGAAGTTTAATTTTTCTAATCTATACATGATTTGACATCATATACTTTTTTTCTATGCTAAATAAATTCATAACATTCCTACTAACAACTCATATGGATGCTGTAAAGAGAATTTTGTATTATCTCAGAGAAACTACAAGTTGTAAGATTTTCTTTCTGCATAACTATGACCTCAATGTACAAGCTTTTGCTAATTCAAACTAGGCATGCAATCTAGATAATCAAAGATTTATCTCTGATATGCTACTAAAATTAAAAACAACACCAATCTTATGGCAAAGCAAACTCTAGCCTATAATGGCAATATCGACTATAAAAGCAAAATATTATACACTCTTTGATGCAAAAAAATGAGATTATGTAGACAAGAAAATTGTTATGTAATTTAGATGTTTTCTTATGTGGACATATGCCATTCTATTGAGATAATCCAATAATTATGAAACTCATCAAGACTCCACTCCTACACTAACATACTGAATATATTCAATTACAACACTACTTCATTACAAAAAACAAAAAAAAAAAAAAAAAACTATAAGTGATATTGAGGTAATATTCATACTTATAAAACTCTAAGAAGTTGATATTTTTAATAAACCAATATAATGTTCTAAATTTGAATCTATGTCTAAGAAAATTGTTTTACAAGCCATTGACTGAAGAAGGAGAGTGAACTTCTAGCTAAGCCATTTTTTCTAAATATAGCTCTGATACAAGAAGGTTCTCTATCACTTTTTAATTATTGGAATAATAATACTTGAATCCATTACTTTTACTCTTCCTATTACATTTCTTTAAGTCCTCTTGTAAGATTATTCTTAATGCTACAAATTTGTTTTGGTATTGCACGTAAATAGTTATGCATTTGTATCTACAAGCTTAATGGACATAATCAAGAGAGTGTTTTTTTAATTTTCTTGCAACATCTCTTATTCATATATTTTAAAAAGAATAAGATGTACACATCATCTTGATAATCAATCATTTGCCACAAAAATTTACGTACCAGACAATCAAAAAGACCATGAATTAATCAACTAACGAATTCCTTGTCAAAGAAATTGCCTTCACAAATTTGCTTTGCAAGATCAAACCAAATTCTTAAGTATCAAAAAACTTCCACTAAAGTCCACATGACAAAGTATAACAATTTTAGAATAGGTAATATTTCGGTGTCACTATGTTATGGCATGATTATTGTTTAAAATAAAATAGGCACTTAAAAATAGGAAGAACATTATAATTCCTTACTTGATAATTAACATGAAAAAAAGAGTGTTGCTTATTAATCATATACATAAATCCAATTTGGCTACATAAGAATCCACATCAACTATCACCTTTTATAATCTTTCATTTCCATCTATCTATCACATAAATAGATTTCGTTCAAGTTTTCTTTGCATCCACTCAATACAAACCTACCAAAGAATGGAAGATACCAGTACAAGAAAATTGGTGCCACCTTTTAAGATAGCTCACCAAATTAGCAACTCGCTTAAACATGTAAATACCAAACTTTGTTTGGTGTCCAAATCAATGCAAGACATTTGACTTCTATTCCACATTTCATTGAGAAAAGTGTGCCATTTTTTACAATTCATACTATTCTCTTTGAGACAAATATCATTGTGCAATGACTTCATTTAAACATGTGATTAGTTTCTGAATGATGGTAAGATACTGTAAAACCTAGTATTAAACCTCGTTGTGATGGAATTGTATGGGGAATCAGTTACACGTTCATTCGATCGAGATTTATAAGCAGTATTTGATACAATTTCCCGTTCACATGTTTCAAGAATTTCAATGTAATCCAACATAGGAACTTGATAATTGATATTTAATTGCATTGAGTCAAATTTACTCAGCTGAATCACGCGCTTGCCAACTCCGCCCATTTTTTGATGACGCGCACAATTATTTCAGCCTTCATTCACCACATTATCATATTTGATACCAGCATCATGTTCAGGTTTTTCTAACGAGATCCGCTGGACTCAGAGCGTGACATAATATCACTTCTGTTTGCCTGAGGTTCTGATGCTCAATATTTAATGACACAGAATGAACAATGATGAGAACACAAATCAACTACTAGTAACTAACAGTGCACAGTGTCTTATCTCTCTGGGAACTCTTTTGTACTGCGTACCTCGGACGTGTTCGAGTTTTTGAGAAGAGTCAGGATATCCAAGAGTCTCTCCTTGGGCTCATCGCCAGAGACTACCTTTTGAAAAACTCCAACCAAAGCTCCCCTTTTACCTTCCCAAAATTCAGGGGAATCTTCCATTTGCCCAAGCAGATCAAACGCCTTAGCGGCATACAAATACTGTCCCGTTTTATAGCACTCATTGGCAATTAGCAGCAGCAAACTGCAATTACAGTACGACATATTTAACAGTCATGTTCATAAAAATTCAGGAAATTTTTTTATTGCCTTCACAATTATTTTATTATTATTATTATTATTATTATTTTGTGGGGATTCGATATGAATCAGATTTCAAAAAGAATAGCGGATTTGATGCAGTTGGATGCACCTGAAGGATGGACTAGGAGCAGCTGTGCGTAAATGGATTTCCCAAGCAAGGTTTGCTTTGCCGGTGGCAATGTAACAGTAGGAAAGCCATGCTTGGTAATAGTAGTCACTAAGAAAATCTTCACTACAAATCAGCAATAATGCCTCCTCTGCTTCCTTGTACGCACCTGAAGCTGCTAATGCGAGTCCGTAGTTCCAGTTGAATTCATCCTGTTCTTCGGAGTATTCTTTGATAGACTGCATGCCACAAGCAAGAGTGGAGCCCATTATATACTAGCACTAACATATCCAAAGGATCACTCACTAATCTTCTTTAAACATGGTGACGATGGCTGCACCTTGAGATAAATTAGAGCATCGTCGAACTGCTTGAGAAGAAAGTGGCAAGAGGCCATGCACTGACGCCCTGGAATAGTGTCACACTCACTAGCCGATGCACCTACCAACTGAAAATACTGCTGGGCTTGTTTTAGTAGGTCTGGATTTTCCATCTGTTGTCCTAGGCTTGCGCAAGTCACGGCCTTCACAATGTACTCTTGTGGAGTTGTTGCTTCGAAGTCCTTGACCATGCTGTACGCATCTTGAATTTCTGCTCTGTCCACTTCACATGTTAATAAGCGCGTCATATTCTGAAAGCACTTGAAAATTGTTCCTACCAGTGATTGAACTACTTAAACACATCAACACAAGGTAGATTCTAGCATAAAGCTTGGAACGTACTCACTCACCCCCATGCTTCAAGTGGTAGATTACCAGGTTCATGCGAGCCTCCGGCAGAATACCAAGCATCCGTGGCCAAGCCTACAATTTTATTTGTGTATGTCCCGTTATTCGTGAAGACATTTACGGTTGTTTCGAGATTCAAACCTGAGCCATGTAAAACGAAATAACTGGTCTCACAAAACGTAAACATATATCAGACTGCCGGCCACACCTGCGAAGCTCCGTCGCCGTTGCGGAAGACAACTATGTTGTGATTCACAAGATAATTCTCGATAGGGGCGATTTTCAGTGTATCCTGCAAAGATTTCAAGTTTTCTTCTGCTATGCTCCCATTGCACAGCTTATAATTATTGCATGCCTGAAAATAAAAATAAAAACTCAGTAAGAATCAGAAACGAGCTCATTACATTCTTCAATATTAAGAAGAGGTCTGAAACAGTTGGAAAATGTCTACTGATTGCAATACTAAGCCATTATGATTTGTAACAGAAACATCACAGAGAAATGACGGCAGAAGCTACGCACGATGTGTCAATAGAAAAGCGTGAAGACGGCGAAGCTATTATTGTGTAAAGCACAAAGTCAAGAGAGGTTGGCATTGATGAAAAAGGACGGAACAAACCTTGATGTTAACTGCCAATGGGCTCTCTGGATGTACCTGGTTGGAAGGACAACGTGCGAGATTGATCACATTGTCAGGTTGAAATACAGATATATTCTAGCGGAATGTAAAGTGATAGCCAACAGAGAATCTCAGCTGTATTCGAATACATTTGGCATTAACAAACCTGTAAGTACATGTCCAAAACCTTAAGGCTCACGTCGTATAAATCCATATTGCAGTAGCACAACGCAATAAAAACATTTAGTGCCAGCCAGCCTCTGTTGCACTGCCCAACACCCTAGGTCATACACAGGACATTCCCTTGGATGCTTACTAAGCATGGTCCAGTCTCTTATCCTAATCTTAGATCATAACCAAAACAAGAAGTAAATAATTACGGACATTTCGAAACGTTCTCGATAATTACGTACTCAGAAGGATTCGTGAAGGTCAAGTCAGTTGCCTGTTCTTGAGCAGGAGATTTTTGTAGATATCAATAGCTTCTTGATATTGAGTTCGAAGAAAATGGATTGATGCCAAGCTTAATTGGTCTTCATGTTTCTCCCCTAAACTGTTGTGATATTCCAGCAACTTAATCTCGTCATTCTGGTGATGCGCTATGTGAAGCAGTATGCGCTTCTGCAATGGACTCTCGGGACCTGGTCATCCGCAATCAACAACTTAGCCGAAGGAATATGCAATGTTCTAGGTCCTTCTGATATACATACATATGTATAATTTCGTTTTAATTGCAACCTACAGTCTTTTAAACGAAGGTTCTTCTTTTTAATGAATACTCAAACGATCAATATCGACAAGATGGCATATTGGCTATCTCGATTCGATAATAGTCAAGCATGAGGCACAGCCAAAAAACATTGCACTGAGGAAACGTTGCCAGATTCAGTGCGTTTGCCTCTCAATGCAGCTTGTTTGGCTTCATCATAGTTCGCCAAGTAGAAGAGGCACGCAGACGAGTATGTGTGATAATTAGGGTCGGCATCAAGGACACTGAGCAGCTCCTTGTACAACACCAGCGCTTTATCATGCTCTCCGTGGTGGAAGTGCGCGTAAGCCAGCCATTCCAAAGTTCTCTTATCGCATCCTTCCACCTGCGTCCTAACTCCATTGATTACCACAACAAGCGTTCGGACACCATTCCCTAACCATGAACTCCAACTCACAAATCCGAGACACATCAAATGGCTGCAAAAGGACTCAACACAAAACACGCGCAGCGCGGTAGACGCGTCTCACCATGCGCTTGAATTGGAGGACGGTAATGGCGCCCTTGTAATCTCGCGCTTCCAGAAGCTGTCCGAAGTCGGGGATACATGCAGCTTTGCTGTGTGTCCCGCTGTGGACTTTCCCTCTCTCGCCATGAGATGATGATGAGCGCGCCTTGGAGAGAATCATGCTCAACCACCGCTGCTGCAGATCAAAATCAATGCACGCAGTGCTGCTGCTGCTGATGATGAAGAAGAAGAAGTAGAATCCTTCCTCCCTCACTCACTCCGGACTGACTCAATGAATGAATGAATGAATGCAGAGCGATCTTTCACCTTGTCCACCGCGCTCTGGAAATATCGAAATGTCTGTATCCAGAAATCGCAGTCGACAATTTTCATGCACACAGGAACGGAGAGGGACTCGATGATGCAACTCATACTCTCCCCATGTCCATGCATGCATGCGTGAACACATACATACATACATGCATACATCATGATCACATACATATATCATGATCAACCCTCCACCACCCGCGTCCGCATTGGTGCATGCATTTGAATTGCCACGTCATAATTTGACCCCTACAGATGGGCACCACGTTGAAGTAAATGATAGGAGCCACGGTTCAGTAAAAGATGGGCTTTTGAATTGGTTGAGAAGATATATATATATATATATATATATGTGTGTGTGTGTATTTTTTAATATATATTTTTCATTATACATGCAATTTTTGAAGAGACTTTCTTGAAAAATTTAGTTTCAGATTCAAGTAACAAATACCTTTGTCTTTGAAAGATTAAATATGGTGCCAATTTGTTTATATTATGTATTATCATAGCTACAAATCAAAAATAGATATATTTGATTTGTAGTGTTTGTTATAGTTGACTTGTGGAAGTACTATAGATTTTTGGTATTTGACTATTGGCAAAACCTAAAGGTCCTGCATAACATATGGAAGAAGGTGCAATTAATCATTTATTTTTTAAGAATAGTATTACTGTACTAAATTAACTACAATGCAAACATATATACTAAGTTTACTTTTGCCTCAAGTACCCTACAACTCCATTTTGTTGTTTTCATGGCATTGTTGTGTTGTGACACAATTATATGATAAAAATATAACCATTTTTTTTCTAATTAATATCTAATCATCTTGGTTTGATAATAATTCAAAATATTTAAAAATGGCTTTTATAAATGATTCTAAGTTTATTTTCTTGTCTTAATAGCTAGTAGATTAAAAGTTGGGTAATAATTTTACCTTCTAATATGTAGAAATTCTTTTACTGTCTTAGAAAGGCCATAAATTGATAAAAATAAGGTTATAAGAGGTAAATAATTAGCATGGTTGATACTAGGATTAAGTTGAGGATAAGGTTGGGCTAAAAACCCCATAGAATAGGTTAAATTGATACTCGGTGATCAACCATTTGTGGGACAAGATTGAAATCAGACCTTCAACCACTAAAACAACCACTTATGACAAAATAGGAGGGCATTTAAAGATCGGCAATTAGGATTTGTAAGCTAGCTTCAAGTTGATTCCAAAAGTATAAGGCTTGTTTTTAGAAGATTTGGAATGACTTTGCAATTGTTGTTTAAAATTAGAGTTTGTATGAGCGATTTGGATTTTATGCAATACAATTAGGGCTAGTATTCTTGACTAGTTCGTGTAACTAGTGTCACATCTATAGTTCAAAATTTGAAAGTATTTAGTTGATTGGGTGTGCTAAGTGTGTATAAAAGTTTGTATCAATCTAATAGTGCAATTGGGAGATATCTGGATTTTGATATAAGAGGGTATTAGAAGTTGGTAGTTTGGAATTAGATATAGTTTCTATGATATCTAAAGATACACTCATTGAATCAAGGTGAAATTTGGCATGGTATTAGAAGACTTCAATATCAGGCTATACACCAATTTTGAATTGAAGTTAATAATTGGAGAAGGAAAAATTACTACTGGAACATTTGCATCAACTTTCAAGTTGGCGGCCAAGTGATGTCAATGTGGTTTTTGGGTTTTTTCTCACAATTTGTATATTGGATTGGATTGAATTTTTTTGAATATATAAAAGCCTTATAGTAGCATTTGTGTGTAATATTTTGCACTAAGTGGATGGTCAAATTAGAAGTTATAGCTTGCCAAAGCTCACTAATTAAGATTAGGGCTTATAAAGAGAAATCAAAATTGCCTAATTATGGAAGTAATAAGGCAATTGGAGTTTATATATGATTGAAGTTACTAAGAAGAGTATTTTTGAGCATTTTATATTAGCTTTAAGTAATTTTGAATTCAAATTCAAATTGTATTCTTTTTATATGAGTGAAACCTATTAAGATTTTCTAAATATTTATAAAACACGACTTCATCTTCCACAACCAGGTACCTAGTGCATTTTCAAATAAGATAACACATATTATGATAATGTCAATATCATCCTTATCAACAACCATTTCATATATATTAGGTAGCTCTTGTTCTACTCTCTTGACTTGTAAGAAAGCCTTCAAACACAAAATGCAATTAACTTACAAGTATGCCTTGAACTAGGTATGGATGTTTTTGAAAAAAATCGTAATTAGAATTTGTGGAAGAATGACCAAAGAGGTAGAAAGTAAGAAAAATCTTACACTTAGGTTTCAAGTATTCCCAAACCTCATTTTGTTATTTTCATGGTGTCAATATTATCATTGTCAACAAAATTTTCATGTATATTGGATGGCTCTTACTTTATTGTCTTGACTTACATTTCAAAAATAGCTCCAACATCAAGAATGTAACTTATTTATACACATACTTAGAATTATTCAATATGAATATTATTGAAAAAAATCTATAATGCTTGAGATTTATAGAAAAATGGTCAAGGAGACAAGAAGAGTAGAAAGTCTTGCAATCAAGTCTCAAATACCTAGTAACTTTATTTTGTTATTTTCATGGCATTGAAATCATTTTTGTCAACAAAAATTTGTATATAAAGATAACTGCCACTCTATTGTCTTGACCTTTTTGTTAACAAAATAAATTGTGTGCATTAAGTGGCTCCTGCTTTACTATCTCGAATTTGCAGTTGTAAGAAAGGTGCCAACCACAAAGTTACAACTTACTTGCAGACATGCTTGAAACTAGATGTTAATGTTGTGAAAAAAAAACTTTGGTGATTAGGATTTGTAGAAGAGTGGCTATAGAAGAAGGGAGTGGAAGCAATAAAAAAGAATTGTCCTTCAATTGTTGTAATAAGGGCAATTTGAGCATGTTATTAAGATACTCATTCTTAAAGGCAATAATTAGATTGTAAGGCTAAAGAAGGTATTCAAAGGTAAAATTGATGTAATGAACATAAGATGTGTATTGAACAAATCTTTGCATATTGCAGCTAATGATGTTGTAATAGGAAATTTATCTAACTTTGTTAAGTACAAGCTCATATGACCATCCAATCTTAAGAAGAATATGATGTCAAATCAACTTTTAATTCTCAAGTTCTTTACTGCAACTGCTAAATCAAAGTTATTACTAGATAAATGTCTAGTAATAACTTTGATTTTTGATATTAGAGATTTGACTATAGATTCAAGTTAGAGTTCAATAAGAGCATACAAGATTAGTAATACTTTTAAGAGGGCATTGAATATGAAAAGCTAGCTTAATATTTTTATTAGGTGAATTAGTGTTATCATCACCTTGATTTTCAATATATTTTTGTTTGTATGTTCACTATCTTCTATTTTAGATTGGACTTGAAACAACAAATTGTGATATAATCACATATTTTTTAATCATTTTTCTTAGTATGCATTGATACTTTCATATCTCTTGCATATCTAAAAATTTAATTATAGGGGTTGTTGTAGGTTAAACTTGAATTCTTTAGTATTGTATGTAGAATCAAATGAACAATTTTTGATTTTTGAAATACTCCTTAGATTGGATTGAGATTGTCAAGGAAAGTCCATTTATGTACTTTGTTTCTTCATTTGGTTAAAATTTAAGTGACACTAGAATGTTTTTGAGTGTGAGATTCTGCTAATGAATTCATTTGATCATATAAATGTATTAAAATATGATAAGTTTACAAAAGATAATAAAGATTTGATTATTGAGATTTAGATGAATATTAGAAGATTTTTAAAACATTATTATTTAGGTATTGATTTTGGCATTCAACTATGGATTGAGATTTTATTAGAAAATAAATAAACTAAGTGTGCAATAATTCGGATAAAATTAATTTAGAAGATAAAAGATTATAATTAAATTCCTAAAAATTCTATAGATTTTTTGATGTGTATAAAATTATTCAAATTATATGTTTGTGTCTCCTTGTAACATTATGTAATCTAATCAGATAGTTTTAAAATATGGTTGGAATATTTATTTTTATATTTTTGTATCTTTGTTTGTTTTTCTATTCTTAAATAATTTTATGTATGGCTATTTTGTAATGTATGTATATATATATATATATATATATATATATATTAATTTATTTTTAAAAAATAATTTAATATAATATTTATAACTTATATTATATTTATTATAAAAATTTAACTTTTATAGATTAAAGTCATCTTTAAAAATAAATATACGTTCACTAATTGCTATATATACTATATTTTTAATAATAAAAAATTCTTGATTTCTTTTGTAATATTTTAAATTACTGTTATTTATTTTTAAATATTTAAAATTAATTTATTTTAATAAAAATAGAAATTTGGTATGTTTTTTTTTTTTTTTTTTTTTTTTTATACTATCTAATATTTTAAAAGGAGATTTAAAAACTAGAAAACAAATAAGATATATGTCTACAATAGAAGCAATCTTTAGAGGTGAAGTTGAAACATAATATGGATTGAAAAAGCAAGATAGTGGTTTTTAATAAAAGAAGTCCTTTAATAATATATTCTATATCTTAACAAAATCTTTAGAGGTGAAGTTGAAACATAATAAGGATTGAAAAAGCAAGATAGTGGTTTTTAATAAAAGAAGTCCTTTAATAACATATTCTATATCTTAACAAATTTACAATAGATATTCTTTGTATAATGTGTCTTAGGTTCATGTTGCAAAATGAAATATAATAAAAAACATGTGATTAAATTAATCAATTTTACGTTTTTAGAATTCAAAAATATGTATGTATATATTATTTTTTATAAAACTTGAATTATATAAAAAAAAATCAAGTATGTAAAATATTGTTTTTCTTTATGGAACATATATTAAAAAATACTTCGAAACTGTTTCATTGGTTTGTAGTATTTTTTGAATCTTTAATAGGAGCATAAATTATTTTTTTCTCCAAGTACAATATTATTTCAATTTTTAATTTTTTTTAATTAGTAGAAAGTTAATTATAAAATTAAGAACATATTTTAGGCTGTTGGTGCAAATTACTTTATTAAAAACAGTACAAATTATCAAGAACAAAATGGTTGCAAAAAATCATTGAAATGTTTTTTTTGGGAACAATGATGTAAGCCATAGAAAGAGGTTTACTTAGTAGTTTCTATTTTAAGTATCTTTTGTAGGTATATAGACATATACATATCAGAATTAGCAATGCAATTATATATATATATATATATATATATATATATATATATAATAGTATAACTAAATAAATAATAATAATCAAACTTTAGCTTAAACAATAAAGTAGTTTTATTTAAATCCTTATTTTTACAACTATATATAAAATAAATTTGACTGATTTTTTTTTTAAAGCTTTTTAGAAGAGCGGACTACCAAATTTTCTGACTACAAAAAAATAAATCTTCTGCAATCAAAATATTAGAAATAGTAGTAAAGCTTTCAATTTGGTGGTTACATAAACGCTCAATCTAATGTCTAAAAGTTATTTGTTAATAAATACATGACCTACTTGTATTAATATAAAATGTATGTACTTATTCATTATTTTAGTTGCCATAACAACAAAAAGAGATAGTCTATTGATGAACCTTATTCTAATGACTTCAGGAATAGTTTTCTGCAATAATTTTCTTATTGTTGGTGATATTGTTGGTATTTACATAATAAGACTATCTAATTTATATTGAAGATTATCCAATAATTAGATAAAATGTGGAATTGGGAGATATGTTGATAAAACTTGATTATTGCTGTTAGATTTGGCGAAAGCCTTAATTGTCAAATATTGAAGGTAAAAGATTAACATCTTGATTCCAGCAAAGTTTTTGCAATGTTATTATTCTATTTATTGATACATTTTAATATAATTATTTCGTTATTCAATATAAGTTAAATAAAAGGCACTTTTGTTTTAAAAATAAACCATCATATAAAATTTTTAAATTACATAAATTGAATAAGTAATATTTGATTTTATTTGGGGTTTCTGATTTTGGTTCTAAATATCAATAAAAAGTATTTAAATTTGTTAAATTGCTTTGTATTCTTAGAATATCAATAGACATGTACCACAACAAATACATGTTTGGATTAAAGCCGTTAGTATTATAAACATTGGCATGAAAATGTCGATTTGAAGTTGTTTTACTATTAAGGTACAAGCCAAGGTTATTCAATGTCTAAGTTCTTCATTGTGGAATATTTTCTAGCTCTTGATGTTAATGCTCTTCGTGTGGTCTATTGATATTATTGATGTCACTTCAGATGACTCTACGACCCATATCAAGCAGTCTTACATGCGCGAATTTTTCAAGTGATAGTAGATGTGAAAATCTCCTGAATGCCCTCATACAGATTTTTGACGATGAACATCCCACTGCAAATGTGAATAAACAATAGGCTACAGTAACAAACAAAGACATGTAATTGAGTTGCAAAGTAACGAGTCCATTTCACCCGAACAATCGATTTGTGAGAAAAACAATTTACAATATAATAACTGACTGAGGTTGCTGATACTCCTAACAAGAGATTTCCTAACAACTCCCCAAACGATTATAACATATGTGGACCTCTGAGGATGCTAAACTTCAGTTTCGTGACATCAAAGAGTCATAAAGAATCACTGCTGCTTAAACAGATGGATATTCAAACAGAATACCTTCCCATATTTCTACATTTAGAATTCAGAAGCGTTAATAGTAACTTGTGAACATTCTAGAAAATCCAGACATTGCGTTTGGTCAAGGAAACTTCATCTTCTGCTTGTACCGAATGTCACAAGTAACGCATCCATAAAATACACATTGTACTGCTCCACTAAGGAGCCACGAACGACAAGAGTAGACGAGCGGTCCTTCCAAGCGACTTCAAGCAGCTGCTCTTCACGAGGTTCATAGTATTAAGGTTTTTTTGCAGCATAAGACCAGACCTGGAATCGCGAAAACAAGCAATTTAGGATCCAGTGAAACATTGTTGCACTCTAAAAGGATCTTTTTAATCACGCACTAACCAAATCAAAGGCAAAAAAACAAGTGGAGGAGGAAATTATACTGGATGAAAACAAACCTTGAGAGTAGTATCCCAACTTCCTGTGCAAAGAGCATCCCCATCAGTTGCCAATTCTAGACAACTTACTCGATTGGTGTGCCCTTCAGCTCTGCCTCCACCTAAGTTTGCCACAACCTGTCGATGGGACATAAATCTCAGTACACAAATACTGATGTCGTTTACGTGGCACTCAGGAGCAAAGAATATTAGCAACGACCTCAAGTACTACTTCGACATATTTTGTCTACCGATACTTATAAATGTATCCAGAGAGAATGTTTAAGTAGAGAATATTAAAGTAGAGATCTGATAAAGCGACAGATTTTTCATTCTCTGATAGAAACACTTCTACTGTTTCAAAAGTATTTACTCACCGTTACACGCTTAGCCGCGTAGGGAAGCACATCACATGTTACTCAGCATAGCATCTTCGCAAGATAATGTAAATAATGAGTTATACCTTGGCCAATAAAGTGTCCCAGACATTGCAATTTCCATTCGAGTAGGCGGCAAAAAGAAGCCGCCCTGAACGCGAAAACGCTATTGAAGAAACGTTAACTGGACCCCGGGCAAGGGCCTGCTTGTCCCAATATTGTTGTAATTCATGTCCAGGGCCTATGTCAAAGAGTCGACAGCTTCCGTCGTCACTACCCGTTCCGAAGTGGCGACCCTCAGATAGAAAGTGCACGGTATTTACATCACCTTAGTCACCGCATCCCACAAACGACAAGTATGGTCCTCCGAGCTCGTCACAATATGTTCTTCTTGGGTGGGTATATATTTACAACACGAGAGATAACCCGCGTGGCCAGTCAACGTGCCTGACACGGGCAAATTGTCCTCCTTATCAGGTGCAGAGCTAAGGTTGAAAATGGAGCAAACATTGTCTAGGCCACCGCATGCAACCGTGTTGCCACTAGGTGAAATGGCAGCGGCCATAACCCAAGCGCATGCCAGCTTAAAAGAATGTGTTTTCTGACTTGAAATGGCGTTCCATACTATGAGCCTGCCATCTTGCGACGTAGATACTATTCGCGACGTTTCCCGGTAAGCCCAATCTAGTGAGTATATCTTTTCAAGCACAGAAGGATCAGAGTGTTAATTAATCTTTAGTCCCTCACATATTTATGTACCATCAAAGTGCTTACATGTGTTAAGGCCAAGCAGGACCACCTATTACTCAGATCATGACTTGAAGATTAAGGATCTAATCTGAGATTAGTTCCTCAGCGTCAAAAGCAGGCGTAAGAGTCGATAGTTGGATAAAAGCTGAGCCGACTGATTTGAAAGGTAAGATTAGATTGAATTATACCCACCTTGCCTGTATGTCCTTGGAGAGTTCTAACGCACTTGAAGGAAAGGTTATTTACACACACCGGCTTGGACCCTTGACTTTTCGCAAATGATGCCACTGCTCATCCAGAAAAATCAAAATTCCTACATGTCAGACCGTTAATCACAAGGATCCTTCTCAAATAGCATCCGAGACATGTCAAAGAACTTACGGAGAGTCTAGAAATTATAACTTAAGCCCTCGCCACCAGACTAGCATGAATATACCTCTGGTTATCGAATCTCTAAAATTTCATAGCTAAATTTATTGCCATCCCTCAAAACATAAGTATTAATTCCGTTATTTTCAAATCTAGTTGAAGACATTACACTTAAAATACAATGAAATGCATATTTAGAGCGTCAGTCTAGCTAGTGTTCACGATATAAACGGCATACTATTCCCAGTGCCAAGAAGACACCACGCGCACCAATCCGTTCACAGAGTAGCATTCTTTCTACGTCGCCTAAAGCCAAGAATCAACTCAATCAACCCGCTAAGTGTAGTACCCAACACAAGAAGGAAAAAAATGAAAAAGGAACTATGCAAAATTTGGTCGAAGGAGAAGAATAAACACCCACCATCCGTGTCCAGCAACGACGTTTTCTTCTAATTCGATTTCTCCCGCAGAATTTGCACTTTAGCTTTTGCCAACTCGTAGCGCTCTTTTCGCACAGAATCAGCGACAGATATACCTACCTTTCAAATCAATGATCCCCCAACCTCATCATCCACCACCGCTCCAACCCTGGTTAATCGCTCACCCCTCCATCCCTAATTTCTCAAGCCCTAATTTCCTTCACCGCGATGAACTCCTCGCTACTTCCATCATTTGGGACAAAACCAATCACCACCATAGCTTCACCCACTGTCACTATTGCCCACATATCCAAGTTTTTGCCATTGTGTGAGCTCCGTCCCTAGCTTGCAAAATGAGTGAAACGATTGATGGATTCTACTACTGAACACTAGAGGCTTCGCAAGAGCGCCATGAAGTACAGAAGCAAGTGCTATTTGCAAATTGAATTTTCGAAAATAAATATACGAGAGATCGAGTTTTTCCTTTATTACTGCCATTTTAATCGCAACTCAAGGATAGGAATTTTATTTCGTTTTGAAATGATAACATTTCCAGTCTTTCTGGGTTGATTGCAATAGTTTCATCTATTTTTTTTCAAGGATGGATGGTTACGGTCAAATCCGCTTTCGTAGGCAAAGGCTACAGTAGCGGTATTCGAAACTTCGAAAGCGAGGTGGGGTAAGCGAGCTACTTTCCTGCAACGTGTGGGAAGTGTGAATTTCGTCATGGCGAGCATCACTTCGGTTCCACCATTTGACCATTCCGTCTTTTGACCCTCTACAGCAGCCCCGGCGTCGCGTTACTCCCGTTTCCTCGTCTCTTCTCCCTTCCTTCACCCGCTTCCTGGGTGCTCGGGGACGTGTTGCCCTCCCCTAGCAGATCTCGGTTTCATCGACAATCTTATGTTAGGGTTTCGCCTCTACTCAATCTGGGCACATCTCCTGGCCCCTCTACTCGTTTCCTTTCGTGTGTTGTGGTTTTGAGTTGATTTCATTATATATTTCTCAGTTTGCGTCTATCTTGGGTATGTGTGGTGCAGTGCAGTGAGTCCAGGTGGGGCTTTTTTATTGTTGACCGGTCTACTTGCGAGGATTTCATATCTTGAGAGGAGGCCGGTGTGGAGGGGATTCACGACTGCTACGTTTAGTTCCAAGGTTTCTCGTTCGGATTCGGATTTTAGTATTTGGGAGTGGACATCATGAATGGCGCCAGCTCCTCTGAGGGTGGGCCGACGAATTTAATGAAGGAGTCGAAGAAGCCGAAGTATACTAAGTTTACGCAGCAGGAGCTGCCAGCGTGCAAGCCCTTGCTCACACCAGGATGGGTGATGGCAACGTTCATGGTCGTGGGCATCATCTTTATTCCTATCGGTGCCGTCACGCTCTTGGCTTCCAACTCAGTAGTTGAGGTTGTTCACAGGTATGACTTGGAGTGCCTTCCCTCGACTCTTGCGACACAAGCGGATCGTGTGAGATATATCCAAGACAGTTCAATTGATCACTCTTGCACTGTCACTCTTAACATCCCTAAGAGAATGGAACCCCCCGTGTATGTGTACTACGAGCTTACCAATTTTTACCAGAATCACCGTCGATATGTGAAGAGTAGAAACGATCAACAGCTTCGAGGTGACAGCGTATCCAGCCTCGATGCCTGCAAGCCTCTCGCTACCACACCCGGTGGGCAAACGATTGTTCCCTGCGGCCTTATTGCCTGGAGCTTGTTTAACGACACCTTTTTGTTTAATCCCACTCAGGCAGCGCCTAATGCAATTGGAAGCATCACAGTGGAAAAGACGGGAATTGCCTGGAAGAGTGATGTTACTAGCAAGTTCGGAGCTAACGTGAAGCCCCAAAATTTTCCAAACAATGACCGGACAGGTGCATTGGGATGGATTGGAGGTGCAGCGTTGGATCCTAGCAAGCCTCTTAAAGAAGCTGAGGATTTGATTGTGTGGATGAGGACTGCCGCGTTGCCCAACTTCCGCAAGCTATGGGGGAAAATCAACCAGCAACTTGAAGCAAACCAAACCATTACCGTGCGCATATCCAATGTTTACAACACCTACACTTTCAAGGGTAGTAAGAAGTTGGTTTTGTCTACCACAAGCTGGCTAGGTGGGAAGAATTCTTTCCTGGGAATCGCATACTTAACTGTGGGATTGATCTGTATGTTTTTGGCGCTTGTGTTCTTCCTCATCCACCTCAAGAATCCACGACCTCTTGGCGATACATCATACCTGTCTTGGAATAGGAAGAGCGCTGCAAGCAACTCCAGGAGTTAAGCAATGGACATGATGCCTGACGTTGATTTCCCCTCTGTGAATTGCGATTCAGCACCAGAGGGTGGGTTCTCGACTTGCGTTGGAACGATTCTTCCGAGTTAGCAGTTATGAGGATGTAGCTCTATGACTAATCTGGACTGGTTATTTTCATAACCAAGATTTTTTTTTTTTTTTTTTTTTTTTTTTTTTTTTAATTCTATCGTTGTGTAAACTTTTGATTTGTAGTAGCTTTCAGCTCGATGTCCTGCAGGAATAATTTGTAGTTCGAATATCTTCAGATAGTTGAGAGGGTTGTTGAGAAATAGCAGCTTTTGCTGCTACTGGGTTGGTACATAGTAATTGACATCGTTTCAAAGGTTATGCCATGGTTTGAAGAAGGTCATTGTATTGAAGGTTGCCTTGCTGACGAGCGGCAATGGAGGGACGGAAGTGAAGATGAAATTTCAATGGACAGGAATGGAAGTTGCTCTCTTCATTACACGACAAGGCAATGTTTCTAGTCTTTAAAACGGATTTGTATCTTTATTTCTATTTATCGTTTTATGTTTTTATTTTTCCCTTGGATCTGAACTATTTTCACATATCTACAGCTCTTCAGATGCCCTCCCTTGATATGCGATCACTAGATTGAAGTTACGCCGTTTTTCTCATAAGTCAATGCTTGATGGTGCAGTTAGAGTTTTGACGCTGTACCAGCTCCATTGGACACTAGAATCTTTTCAGCTGAAGCCTTTCAATGTGATCTCATTCTTAACAATCCATCACTAAAATACCGATGAGTCCTAGAAGTTATGGTTCCTGTAATCACTGCATATGCCTAGTGGCATGTGATCAATAGTGTCGCATTGAATCACTTTGTTGCACAGCATTATTATCTGATCAAATATCTTGTGTTCACTATGTAATCTTTTGTGCGAGAATCTATATTTGATGTGATAGGGTTTTGTTTAAACCACCAACATTACAATTCATGATGAATCTTATGAATGCCTTCTGGTGTGTGTATTTTATTTACATTTACTTGGTTTTGGTGAAAATGGCAATTGATACTATGACTGAATCGTTGCAAACCTTTGTGGCATGAACCACCCTGATAAACTCTAATATTCTAAAATCATGACTTGTCTAATAGAAACAAGTAAAGCGGCACCTCTGTTTTATTTAATGATAATTGAAAATTTATATTATGTCTCTCCTTGAAGATTCTTCTGGCATCAATATGAAGATTATTGCAAGTTGGGTAATTATCCTTCACAACTTTATTTATGTGTGAATATTAATGGTTCTATTTAACTATGTATTAAAATGATGAACTATGGTTTCTAAGTATTTGAAAGGATAAAAATCTGAGCTATAATCATGTAGAGAGATCTTATATTTTTCTTCAAAACAAATTTTTAAATTCTGAATTAAATCAGAAGACAAAAGTTATATCAAAATCCACAATTTTAAGTTATTTAAAAAAAATCCAGTTCTATATTCTTTTTAGTAACAATAAATGTCAACAAGAATATGAACAATATATGAGACTAGCTATTGATAAATAAAAACGTACCTTTAGTTTGATAGAACAATTATATGTGAATAACACGTATTAACTCAAACCACCATTTGAAAATTCTACAATAAAGATTATTCCTTTGTTACTAATCCAATTCAAACAAACTCAAAGCTGCTATTAATGGTGTAAGGTAATTTCTCAGTATCACATAACATGGTTGGACTGTGTTGAGGAGTGATGTAATGACATGGCTTCAGCCAAATGAAGCTCTTCTCCTAATCTTACCCAATCTAATGCCAAGAATACATAGAAGGAAGACTAGGAGTCGAGTGAGTTCAGTACTTCATCACCAAAGCTATGGACGTAGAGCACAAAATTGAATTAATTCATAATTCGATCACAAAAAGCTCCTGCTGATTCGATGAGTGAATTGCTAATGTACACAACCTCTGTACACAACCAAATGTTCCAGACTTTGAAGATATACACAATTCTCACTTGAGATTCAGTGCTCTAGACAATTGTTTTGCTCTTTTCTAAGCTTTGAATAGGTTGCTGTCTCACACTATGAACTGATCACTTATATATCACATGTTGAGCTACTGTAAACCTGACAGCAATGAAAGTGTGAAATGGGATTTATGATTGGACATAAAAATCAAATCATAGAAGGACCCATCTGTGTTCATGTTTTGGGCCAAGGATGCCATGAATATTGAGGACTGTATCATACGTGCACAATTGGTCACAGCTACTACCAGTTCTATTCTTCACACAGTCACTATTGCATGTGTCCAGATCTGATTCTTTGTAATATCTAGTGATAATCTATCTTTTGAGGAATTACAGTCATAATTTTTTAAAGAAACTGGGAGCTAGTGCTGACTTTGAATACGTAGTTCCACAAAATCATGTCCTTGCTGAAGAGGAATAATAAAACTGTCAAATAGCTTATTTCACACAATGTGTCCAGAATTACCTTTTTGTTGTAAGATTTGGTTATTTCTTGGGACTTGAGTTTATGCAACTCATTTACCAGCAAATTCCAATCAACAAACCCAAAGAAGATAGTGTCTGTTAGAATATCGAAGTTCCAGTTTCCGACAATTCAAAGTATTACATTTGAGCAAAAGATGAAATAATTGAGAATGCCCCTGTTTGGACCTAAAACGAATCGAAACAAGCAGCAAGTTCTTCTAGATACTCATATGAATCGTTTCTTGTGAAGGATTTCAACATAGAGGGGCCTGATGAAAAATGACAAGTCCCCGTCACAAGGATCTACTACCGCCACAAGCCGCCTACTTAATTGTAAATTTCACTACATTATAAGCAGCCGAAGTCCAATGGCTGACTGCAAATATTACTTCACCCTCAACAATAGTCCTACTTTAAAAATCACGAATACTTCCAAGAACCTCTAAAAGAGGCCTGGATAGGCAACGCAATAGCACAGATAATGGCAACCCAATGCTCTCATGCTTCTGCAACTCAAGTTTAGCAGCCTTTCAAAATTAGCAGTAGCCTTCTCAATAGTTTGAAGCTCGGCAGCAAGCTTGACAGCTTTGGCTTCGTTCTCTTCCTGGACAGATTCGGGAACCTTGTCAACATATCCAACAGCGCTCATTTTCTTGTAAATTGCATCTTGTTGTCTGTAAATAATGTCGCCATGCCACATCAATTTAAGTGTTGACGATCAGAACTGTCGTTCATGACAGTATTGTACTAATACAAATCAGTAGATAAATGACTAAAGACATCCTAAAAGTACATCAGCAAACAACTGTCGTTTCAATCTTACCTGACAAAATCACGTTTTTTCTGCAACCGTAAGACCTCTTGATTAGCATCCACAACATCTCGCAGGAGCAGATTCACTGTCGTGCTCTCATCCACAATAGCCACAGCACAACCAATAGGTGCCTCTTCTCCTTCTAGCAAAACCAGTACCCGAAAAATTCAAACTTGAGTTTCAAGAATATATTTCACCTACTGACTGAAAGATGACAATATGAAACGTACGCTAATCACCTCGAAGACTGTGGAACTGGCTCGCAGAAGCTCAAGGTGTAGGCATAACAAATTACAAAAGCACGGCTCATTCCTAAATTGCGAAGGAAAACGTGCTAGCAATTCCTAAGGAAGGAAGGCAACCATGTCCTTCACACGATTCTCTCCACAATGCGTCCTACAACTGTCACCTTCTTCTTCAACCCAGTTGCCAATTCACAAAACTCTCAAGAAGTTTCACCAATTCCAAACACCCACTTCTTATCAAAATGTGAACTTTGGAAGTTGCAAGTCACCTTTTTGGAGCATGTGGTGTCCTCCTAAGACATGCTTATGGAGAAAAATAAGGTAAAAGCAGTTTTTAGTTTGAGGATTGGCCAACCACCAAGGATGCTTCTGAAGTTTGCTCATTTTTAGGCCTTGTTGGATACTATTGCCATTTTGTTTGGTAATTTGCTCACATTGCTGCCTCATTGACAAACCTATTGGAGAAAGATGCTCTATTTGAATAGAAACTAGAGTAGCAAAATATCTTTGATAAATTAAAGGAGGCACTCATTACTGCTTTAATATTGCAACTATATGATCCTATTTTTCCTTGTATGCTTTATATTAATGCTTTTGACTTTGCTATTGAAGTGGTCCTTCAACAAGACTTTGGTAGAGGCCTTTAATTTGTGGCATATGAATCATGCAAGCTCAAAAGAGTAGAATGCAATTACTCTACATATGATCAAGCGTAATTAGCAATTGTATACACCACAAAGATGTGATAATACTATCTATTAAAGAAGCCAATAGTTATTTGGACTGACCATCGACCCTTGCTACATAATTTACATTTGAAAAACATAAAATTGCAATATCATCGTTAGAAAGAATAGTTGTAATTTTTTGATATCCAGCTTAAGTACAAATAAAGGAGACAACATATTGTGCCAAACAGCTTATTGCAGAGACTAGACTTGAAGGATAAATTGGAAGACAAGGTAGAAGTTGGTACTATTAGTAGTGTCATTTCAAATCTAATAAAAGAGATGGAATGGAAAGATGTTACATATTGAGATACTTATTTTAAGATGGTTAGTAATCGATTGAAGGTAGGTAATATATAATATCAAGCTTACATTCTTACTGATGGCTTCCTCTATTTCAAGAAGCAAATTTATATACCTGACAATGCTATACTCTAGATGTACATACTTCAAGAAGTACATGATATCCCAATATCTAAACATCTAGGACAAAAGAAGACTCTAGAACAAATCTCAAGGACATGATTTTGAGTAAGTTTGGATCATGATGTTTGAACCTTTGTACGCTCTTACAAATCATGTCAACATAATAAAGCATGCAATGTAATGTCTCTTCGACTATTGCAGCCAATTCTAATACTTACTACACTTTGAAAACAAGTGACTATAGATTTTATTACGTGTTTGTCGCATATACCTCATAATTATACCATGATTGCCGTCTTTGTGGATCGACTCTCAAAGCAACTTTACTTGATTGCAATGTGCTTGGATATTGATGTCTCAGCACTTGCACAAGTTTTCTTTGATATTGTCTTTCATCACCATAGATTACATCATGTCATTATTTTAGATCGAGATCCATGCTTCACGGGAAGCTTTTGGCAAGCCTTCTTCAACCTACTAGATACACGACTTGCCATGTCTATAGCCTTCTATCTCCAAACAAATGGACAAACAAAGTACGCAAATCAAACCTTGAAAGATATGTTGTGGGTATTTGTGGTAGTTCATCATAATGATTGGAATCAATACTTGATGCCCTTTGATTTGCTTACAATGATAGTATTCAAGTAAATATCAGTCATTCACAATTTTTCCTTAATACCAATCAACATTTGATTACGGTGATAATTCTCTATTGTCTCATTGATACCAACAACCCGACAACAGAGGAATTTATACAATAGCTTACAATGGCCTTACAAGAGGCATGGCACCATCTCTTTACTGCACAGAATCAACAAAAGGACTATACAAATATCCAGTGGCAATACAAGATCTTCTGAGAAGGTGATCAGGTATTACTTTTTAATGCCAACTTGTCACTTACTACATCAATCCAAATCTGGAAATTAGTACCTTAGTAGCTTGGACCTTCTTGCATTTCTTCAATGATCTCTAATGTCGCATATCGCCTCAAGCTTCTGCCACATATTTGGGTCCATCTAGTCTTCCATGTTTTGCAACTGAAGGGATTTCATATTGAGCCAAAGCGCTTTCCGGATTAATACCAACCACCACTACAACTAGTTGTAGTTGATGACCAATAAGAATATGTAATCGATAGCATTTTGGAACATTGCTATCTTCATTGTAGTAGTGGATGTTTATAACTTTAGTACAAAGTTCTTTGGAAAGATTATCCCATTCACAATGTGACGTATGAACTTGCACAAAACCTCACTCATTGCCAAGAGACAATTCAAAGATACCATCAGGAGCAAAATGAGAAAGTTCCGTATTAGTGGAGGAGGATTAACTATAACAAGGCATAGATAAGACATTTGTATAAGGATAGATAGTTACAATCATGAAAATTTCTAGAATTGAGGTTAGGTGAGTAGACTACGTAGGATCTACCATAGAACATTCTAGAAAGAATTAGGGCGGTTGTTTAGGTGGGGCCTACTACCTAAGAACATTCTAAAAAGTCCAAAGTAATAGAACAAGGCATAAATGAGGCTTTATGTTGCTATGGATTAGAAGGATCTTGGGTTTTTGAGATAGTTTGGTCGCGTTTCAATTCCTTTGGTACAATTAGAGATTGTTGTGCTTGTTCCTATGTACATGTGCATTGTGGATCCCTTCCTTCTTTCATCCCCTCTTGCCATTGTCAAAATAGTGCATATTGGTCCTATTCCAATTAGTTCTTACACTATTATTGAGTCAATATATTATTAGCTTAATTGCTTTGTTTTTTCTTTCATGACAAAAACACCTTGTTTTGTAGACGTCATTTGTACATCAGATTTAGAATCATGATATTTAGACTCAATCAATGTTGTCTTGTTATCAAACTCTAGTGCTTTGGTGAAAGTAGTTATTATGTTATGTAGGTTGTTCATTGTGTAGTGGTTTTTCTAGCAATGACTTGGGTTTTTTGTATTTGTTGTTGTCATTGAAATCTAATTTGGTTTCCAATTGGCATGCCTCTTTGTTGAGTTTTAGAAACAACTGATTTGAGGAATAGTGTTTAGTTGAGAAAAGAAGTTGAATTCTTTGTTTCTCTCTTTCTTTTTGATTTGCTTTGATTTTTGTTTTTTGTGTGTTTTTCTTTTGAGATTTTAATTAAAGAGATTTGAAAAACAAAGACTGGTAATCAGTTCTCATGTTAGCATCTCCAATCAAGTCAAGAGTCATGCATGAAAACAGATTTCAAACTTTATATATATAAATATATATATATATATATATATAAACACATATATACGCACACAAATAGCAATTCTGCATCTAGTTATTGAATGTAAAGTAAATGCTGACTAAATAGTATAAAGACACCCAGGAGAGGATAGGGCTAACAGTGATGGGCTTAAAACTCGGCTTAACCTTTTTGCAAACAGTTCTAGAAATACCTTCGTTAAATTCAAAGTCAAGGTCTTGATTCTTCCCTTCATAACCTCGTTGTTGGTTCAATACTATGTTCTTTGATTACATGAGCATCATGAGCATGCTGTCACATGAAACAGGAAAGTACTCTTAAGCGTAGACGTCGCAATCCATCCAAATTGTACATAAATCACACCATTCATGTGGTTTGAAGAAAGAGACACTTTGAATGGCGAAGGAGAAGTACGTGGTGTGAGGGAAGTACGTGTATTAAGTAGATTTCCATTCATGAGCCCTAAAAATTTCCCAGTAAAACTAGCAAATGTGCACACTTTGAAAAACGGAACGATGTGATGGACACGAAGTTAACATTAACATTTGAAAACATCAACCGACACGAGCATTCTGTATTGTTTCAAAAACCCTCTGTTGGCGGACGAACTACCACTCTGTAGCGAGACACAGTGAAGATTCATCGAACTCAGTCTTTTCCCACATCACAACATTGCTACGTTGGTTGAATTTAATTGAATCTTTCTTTCCCAGTAAGAAACCACTTGATGCCTCTAACAAAACGCATATTAGATACAAAATTCTTATTAACTCCTAATCATGAGACAAGGTCAGTATTTTTGGGAAGCTTTTATAATTCTCTTTGGAGTAGAATGAGTGACTGCCCAATTCGATTAACATCTGTCGGAGATATAAAGTTTCAAAGTTATGCCTCGATGCACGTAAAAGATAACTTGTAAGTTAAGGCTTCAAAATGAAAGCCTGCTGCAGAGCAACCTCAGGTTTAATGTAAAAGACCAAGAGTAATTTATACAAATAATATTCCATTCCAGAGTTTAAGTTATTATACAATCACCACATAAGTTCGTCAAGTTTCAGACCTCACATGCATAGTATGCTGGGGAGTTGCTTCGAAGTGTACTCCGAACATTCTCAGAGGAAGAACCAGTCAGACGCCCAGACCCTCAACACTCACCCAGAATAAAATATGCCATAAACCTAACCCTCTAACCTGAGAAAATAGGCTACCACGTAAAAAAGTATGATAGTCTCGCACATTCAACGTATCGAATCATAACCACTCGGCGAGAGAGACCTGTCTGAAGCCTTGAGTGAGGGCCTGAAATTTGAAGAAGCTTTGTTCCGAAATCTGCTACTCTGGTCCCCCTCCCGGAACAAGCTGGAAACAAACAAACCAATGCCCGACACTGATTATAACGGTAATCTGTCATTTCACAAACTGCTTGCTAGGTGAGATATCCTGCGATAAAACAAACAATGTCGCTAATGCGAAAATTACGGCGAAAGTAGGTACAGAGCTCCAAAGCTTACGATTGCTATGTTGTTTCCGTTCAACAATATCTGCTCAAGCTTTGTGATACGTCTCCCTTCGCTAGTTATTTCGCTGCCAAAAACACGAAAATAGCCTACAACTCAGTGAAGTTAATTATTTAAGATCCACCACCGACATTGACCATATCACTAACGCTAACCAACAATAATGAAACTCGCCACGCAAGAAGATAACCAAACACTTGAAAGTGACAAAATCCATTCGTCCGCTACAACAACAACAGACTACAAAAGCCAAACGCTGAAGACATGCTGAAGCTCCTGAGTATCAATTGAGCGAACTCAGGATATGCGCGAGGGAGCATCTTACTACTCCGTGACGTCTTCCAGCACCATGTTCACGTACACATCAAACCCCCGCAGGGTTCCCACCAGCTCCTTGTCCCCCTTCATAATCACCCAAATTTTCGACCCAATGCATCTATCAATGAGCTCTGCCAATGTCCAACCCCCGCGTCCCAGGTTTCCATATCAGCAACTCCAATTTCATAATCACCATGTCCTTACACCAAATCCCACGTAATCCAACTGCACCAAACCCCAACTCATGGGAAAACTTACAGAAGAGCCCACGAACTTCAGGGGAAAAAAACCCAAAACCCAAAAGAATGAGAAAGGCAGGAGAGAAAGGGAAAGATGGGTTCGTTACCAGAAGGCATAAGGTGAGATGGGTTGTTGTGCGCCATGGCTGGCAGCGCGGGTGCGGAAGTGCGAGACGCAGCCTGGGCAAGTAAGTGAGTACGAGAGGGGCTGAGTCTAGGGTTTGGTAGGCTCGAAGCGGGAAATGAAGACAGCAACAACAACAGCACTAATAGAAGCACTAACTCCCTGTAGACTAGACTAGACTGACCCTGGCTCCATTCTTCACCTTTTAAGGGTGCTTCTCTCTCTCTCTGTTTTAGCTGCTCGGTGGGGTTATGGAATTTTATTTATATTTCTGATTAGTTGATGGCCTGCACTTAAACGATTTTGTTATTGGTTTTTATTTTTATTTATTTTTGTTGGAATGACAGTATGAATTTTTTTAATATTATTATTATTATTATTATTTTACTTATTTTACTTATCATTTTTTAATAAAAATAAATTTAAATTTTGGACTAATAGTGTCTTTTGGTTGTATTATTTTCTTATTGAATTGATTGGATGTATGAATATTTTTTTGTTGAGTCTTTGTCTGGATCCTTTAAGAGTTTATCTCATGTGGTTTTCGTGAGAGTTTTTATTTACAACAATCATCTGTTTATTAATAATAATTCTATTGAAGCTCATGTCCCTGGTATAGGTTATGTGGACTAATTTTATGTGATTAATAATTACAAATTATCAACTTGGGCTGTTCAAATGTGTTTGCATACTCATAGTTAGGCTCCAAGGGTTTGATACATACAGAATAAAATGGATCAGATATATATATATATATATATATATATACCTGTTAAATATCATAAATATAATTAGAGATTGTCATCTCATCCCATTAATTTTAACTACTCATTCAGATAGAAATTGTAGTAAAATACATACGTTTTTGAAAAAAATGGGAAATCACAGATTTTATTTATTTGGAAAGACTATCATTGATGTACTTGTAATAACAACACTAAATAATATAATGCTAATCAAGTAAATTGGTAACTTACAACTGATGGGTATATAAAACAATGGTCAAATCTCGACTTATTCAAAAACAGAGTTTTATTTTTTTGATTATTTGAGCTACTTCAACTCTTAATGTCAAATATGTTGTTGATTTAGCATCTTTTTCAAACATTTTTATTCATTACTTAATAAATTTAAAACAAGCCATTCAACAGTGCATTTCAATATCAACCAATCAAATAATACACAGAATTAAATCAAATGTGATTTATTTTACCACAAGAATGTAATTATTAGTCCATTTTAGCTAAAATATGATTGTGATAAAGAAAAAAAGATGTTACAATAGCAAGAAATGCAAGTGTATTCAAATGTAACAGTTAAAAATTATGTCAGTTGCACATAGAATATTAGAGAGAGAACAATATGAACATTTACTGACTCTAGACTAAAAGAAATGTACAATATTACATCTTCGTCGAGAAAACACAAACATTTTCAATCATTGTTGCATTGACATCTAACATTATACAATAATTATATATGTAACTAAATCCTATCCGAATGTGTGACACATGACACAATGTCAAGGGAACTATAAACTTCAGCCTGCATACCATATAAATGGCAAAAGTAAACATGTAAAAGTAGGAAATCACATAAAATGAAAAGACTCCTTACACTCCTTACAATCTTTATTCCCAAACCAGAAACAATTTTGTACAAACAATCCAGTAGTCTCAAAAACCTCTTCCTCAATCACAAAGACTTACACTCCAAAGTAAACTCCTCGATCCTGGAAAAAATTCCCCGCTTTCTGTTGCTTTTGCATTTGACTAGTGTTTTTGTTTTCTTGTTTTCCACTTCTGCAGTGACATCATGTTATGTGGACACACACTCGTAAAAAGAGGGAGCTGTTCAAGACAAGACCATGTCTTCATAAGGATCTATCTTAAGGAAGGCCTCATAATGTTGTTGTTGCTGTCATGTATGGAAAGGACGCTATTTCCCACATTTGGTGACATGGAGGAGGTGGAAAATCGACTTCCTCCGGAGCTGTAATGGGAATTGTAAGCAGAGCAACGACAAGTTGCAGAGCTGGTGGAGGATCAGGAGGTGTACTCAATAGCCTCACGCAGCTCTCAAACCACATCTTGCATGGTTTGCCGGAACTTCCCTCTGGGCTCCACGCACATGATTGCCGTTTCTGCAACTCTCCAGACAGCCTCCATGTCAGAGACGCATCTTAAAAGAACTGGATCTAGTATCCTCTCAACGTCTCCTGCTTGAACGCAGTTTCTTGTCTGAATGGGGGATCCACACAAAGCCGCATCAGAACGTTATCAACAATCATTCAGCTGTGACTGATGAGCCCAGCGGTTCACTCGCGCATCTAGCATGTCCAAAACGACGTCTCTGGAGATTCAAAACAAAGAGAGAGTAGCTTCCAATTGTTGAGAATTCTTATGGTAAATGGGATGTTCAACGCATGGTACATGCGAAACTGAAATCACGAATCTATAGCATTCCAGTATTGAGACAATCTTTGGACATGAATCCACGGTGGCATGTGTGTTCGTACTCAATGAACTAAATTTCTTTCGTCTTTGTTCGCTAAGGTGTTGTCATTTGGCGCTCGAGCACACAATATCTCCAACATCACTACACCAAAACTGTAAACATCGCTCTTTTCCGTCAAATTCTGTGTGGAAGTATATCTGTATCCATGAAACAAAGACAGCAGTTCGATATCAGAACAGTTGCATTTGGTGGACAAACAAGGCAGCACAAACTAAGCTAGGTACGCTATTTGAGATCATTAACTCTATCCCTCTCTGCAACTTCACACCTTCCATGCTAAAATAATCAGTGTTTGAAGTTTTCATACTCTGGGTCCAATTAATCGATGGTTCCCTTCACCATGGTGGCGACATGAGATGCTGCTTCCCCGAGCATCTTAGAAAGATCGAAATCAGCAACATTTGCCGTATAATTACTAGTGAGAAGAATGCTACAACTCTTGATATCACGGTGTATGATGTTTGGACTGCATCCGTTGTGCAAGTACTCCAGACTTGAACCACAAGCATAACTCTTACTTGCTCACAACTTTCAATAAATACACAGAGGATGTCGTCACAAACCTCAGTACAAAAAACCAAAACTGGTCAACTCTACAATCTTCATCAGTACCAAGCAACTTCAGATGGGAAAAAGCAATAAGCATACGATTGTAGAAATTGTATCGATTGCGTATTCAAAGCGATGTTCAAGTGGCGTTTCCAGTCCAATGGTGTTGACAATAAAAATGGAGGGATACTCAAGAACACATTCGATCCATACACGCATACGATTACACAGAAGATATTCTGTTGCTTTCATTTAGCGAAGGTGAAAAATGACACACACCCTGCCGCAAGTGTGCGCTGGGTTTAAAACGTTGTGCACCCTAACAAACTAAAGTTTATTCAGTTAAATCATCATTTGTCTTAAACTGAATTTGGTTACTTGCTGGAAGTGCACGAGTGTGCTCAGCTGGAAGTTTGTTTTTCAACATCCTCCCTCAGACCACTAGCTCCCAATACTAGTGGACTGTAGTATCAGAAAATCTTTTGCTTAATGGGCAGGCTCGATGTTTGGCATTGGGAGCAAACCGATGGAGTTGCAAAACAAAGAAAAACGATCCAATGTAAGAGCTTCGGTTAGCAAATCGGCAAGTCGTGCGGTGGTATTCACGTATTGGATGTTGATCTCACCCAAATGTTGGTGCTCGCGTATGAAATGTTATATCACATCACTGTGTTTTGTACAAAGGTGAAACTCAGGGTTGTGAACGAACCGAATGGCGCTTTGATTGTCGGAGAAGAGGCGCGTTGCTTAGCTTGGCTTGTAACGTGGGTTTGTGAGAAGCCAACGGTGCCAGATGATGTCCTTCGTTGTGGACCCTGCTGCCACATATTCAAACTCGGTGGTAGAGGTAGAGACGCAGCTTTGTTTTCTACTGCACCAGTAGACGGGTGTCCCGTTGAGAAAGAGCAGCGTGCCGATGCCAGACTTTCCATCTGTAACATCTCCAGCTTAGTTGGCATCTCCATACCCTTCGAGTAACATTGACTTGGCAGTACTGCTGAAGCACAGTGAAAGGTGGAAAGTGGCTGCAAGTTAACAAAAAATTCGGGCCACGGCTTGATAGTGTTGGCATTACGGGTTTGCTGAGAATTGTGCAACGGTGTTGACAGCATAACTAATCTCAAGGCAGCTGAGGTTTTGTGCATAAAGGAGGCATTCCACAGCTGTAGATTAGAGAAATGGTGGTAGAAAGGATTCCCCACCATTATCGAGTTTTGTGTTCAGGTCAGCAAGTTCTCTCAGCGGGGTTCACTCGCTAAAGCCCAAGCGGCTTAGTATTCGTCGGAGGTAAATTGCTTGATGGATGAAAAGGTGACCATTGGATTGGAGGCAAAGAATGTGGAACTCGATGTTGAGATCGGCGTTCGAGCGAGTAATACCGAAGTGTTTTTCCATGTGGTGCACGAGGTCCTCCAACCGGGTCGGTGAAAAATACGTGGCTAATCTGTCATCCACAAAGAGAGGTACAATGAGCCGCGGTTCTAACTTCAAAATGTAGATGCGAGGATCAGCTTCGATTCCTTCAAGGTCAAACTTCATGAAGAAGATGTGGAATGTTTGATTCCAGATTCGGTCGCACTGCTTTAGGCCATATTGGCTCTTGAGCAGGAAGCACACCATTTGTGGGGAGGTTTGGCTTAAAATTTTGAACCCTTGCGGCTCTTGCATGTAGATCTCCGTATTGAGCGATCCATCCAAGAACGCTATTTGTATGTCAAATTAAATAATCGGCATGTGTTGCTGGGTTGCGATGGCGGGCACCATCCGGATGGACTCGTACTTTACTACGGGACTGAATGTCTGATCGTAATCTATCCCGAATAGTTGCCTGTACTCCTTGGCAATTCTTCGTGCTTTAAATTTTACAACGGACCCGTTGGAGTGCATCTTAACTCTATAAACTCATTTGCAGCATACGGGCTTTTGGTTTGGGAGCAGAGAGACAAGCCGCTAAATTTTGTTCTTCAGGAGTGATTTATGTTCTATCTCCATTGCCTGCCTCTATTCTGTCGCTTCGGGAGTTATTTAAGTAATTCTAAATAATTTTAATTAGACTTAAATTAATCCAAGTAAATTTAAAAGAAGTTATAAAAGAAACTCAAAAAAGAAAT